TGTGTGTGTGTGTGTGTGTGTGTGTGTGTGTGTGTGTGTGTGTGTGTTTGTAAGACCCATTTTCCCAACAGGGCCAACTGCTCCATATGGAGCTCAATGCCCAGGCTTAGGACAGTGGTGTAGTCTACATTTTTGTAGTGGGTATGTACTTAAACCAAAGTACAATGGTTAGTACAATGTAATCGTCAACTGATTTTGATTTTTAAGCATATTGAACATTTCCAAATTTCTCTGATGCCTATATTTGAATAAACAACGTACAACAAACTTCATACAACAGTTGGCTTTGTAGTAAAAACATGTTATAGAATTTATAAAGCAGTCTCAAAGCAAAACATGTTCAAGTATTAAGTTTACAGAATTTAATAATTTGCTGGATAAGCGAATGTAATAAACAAGCGCTGCATACAGGGATAGATCGTTACAGAAGCATTTAAGTGCCGTTTAACATATCAATGACATGTGCCTAATGACATGTCATGTATCACTGGGCACTTTTATTTGGGTATATTGAAATTCTTGAGCTTTTCTAGTGGAGTATACACACGTATCACATAGACTACACCACTAGTTTAGGACTAAGGTGTGAATTGAGGATGGGCTGGGTTTAGGGTACGGGTCAGACTCAGGGTTAGGCTATAGAAAAGAATGAAAAATGAATGGAAGTCAATGAAAAGTCCCTGTAAAGATAGAAAGACAAATGTGTGTGTGTCTATGTGTGTGTGCTGCAATGGGGATGAAAACTTAAAAGTATCCATAAAGGAGCCCCCAAAGTACAGATGACAGTCTATTTATTTATTTATTTATTTATTTATTTATTTGTGCAACATATCTGGTCATATTATGAACAGAAGGTCACCAGCTTGACTTGAGAGGAGATCTGGAGTCATCTCATGTGTGCTTCCTAAACTTTTTGTTTTCCACTCATCAAACATGTTGCTTGTTTAAATATACTAACTTTGCTAGCAATGAGCTAAAAGTTGTACAATGGTAGCTAAAAACTGAAAGGAGCAAAATAGCTCAAACCTATAGCTAACAGCTAGCTAATTCTAAAAGTAAGTGGGAGGTAAAAGCTAGATAAAAGTAAAAGACTATAACTCAGAATAGCCAGATGCTAGTTAAAGCTAGCATATAAAGACAAAATTAATTGAAGGGATCTGTTTTTTTTTCTGTCTGTTCTCCGGTGAAGACCGACGGTGCTCCGTACCCCCACCCCACCCCCACCCCCCGCGCTTCCCTGCTTGCACCCTTTCGTCCTGTGAACCCTTAAAGAGCCTCTTTTTTCTGCATACCTTCCTAATTCTAAGGATCAGCTCGTCTCTCAACAAAACTGATCAACTTCTCCCGTCAGGAGTCAGGGTAAGGAGGACCCTCTTACCTCGACGGAAACAAATTGGATTCATGATGACAACTAATTTTTTGCTGTTTGGCTGGTGAATTCTGGATTGTCTACAAATTCGTGTGGATGGATTGAAGCTCGGCAGCACTCAGACTGAATTATGTGGAGTTGCGTCAGAGCTGGAGCAGCTATTATCAGGACTGTGAACTCTTTAGCAGCACACATGAAGATGGGAATAATCTTGGAAAGGCTGTGAGCTCGACTTTAAGGAATCCATTCGGCTGTTTGAAGATTCCATCAGAGGAATATACCAGCAAGACTTTAAAAGGCAGAAACAGCAATTCATGAGTTCTGCCTGACCCAAAACTGTGGCCTTTACGCTGGACTTATCTCAACTCCTCCTGGCATGTTTTGAAAAAGACAAAGATACTTTGTCTGTCTCCTCACCCCTCTCTCCCCCAAGGCTGTGGACATGTGACAGAACCTCAACCAAGCTGATGATGAATGACACCTCTTATCTGGACAATGGCTGGGGGGGCTCTGGACTATGCTACAACCTTCCCTTAAAATTCAATGTTTTCACTGGCCTGTATGTAAATGTATAACATCTGTTTATGTTGCTTTGCTGTGGTAGGTTGTTTTGATGCCTCAAATCGTGCCCTGTCTAGGACACGGAGGAGAGATCTTTTTTTTATACCGTCTCTCCTTATGTTTTCTTCCCTTTTCTCATCTAAGCAAAATATTATTCTGAATAAGAATAAGAAAAGGCTGCGCTTTTTATAGTAGCAGCTTCATGCACTCCGCCCATCTTTTGGACGACTGTACGTACATGTTCTCGTTGTATCTTGGTGCAATGATAATAAAGTTTGTTCTGATTCTGATATTTAATGTCCAACAATTTTCAGTCAGGTCATCTGGACAGATTTTTTTTTTTTTTTTGCTGAAACATTTCACTTTCTATCCGGAAGGCTTCATCAGTCAAGGAAACACACAACACAAAACTGATTCTTCCTCCAAACAGCTTACTCCAAAGTGGAACAAACCAGTTTGGGGGAAGAATCAGTTTTGTGTTGTGTGTTTCCTTGACTGATGAAGCCTTCTGGATAGAAGGTGAAACGTTTCAGAAAAAAAATATATATATAAAAACTGTCTAGATAACCTGACTGAAAATTGTTGGATTGTATACCTGGATTGTTGAGCATGGACTTTTTTTCTTTTTTCTTTTTTTATCCTTAATGTATTTTATGGGAAAGATTTTGATAAAGAAAAACAAATATTTAGAAATTTAATTAAGTTGCCCCCCAAAAAGTAAGTCTTCTGAATGAGCCAAACGTTTCGACATATGAAAGACTAAAAAAGCATAAAGTATGCAAAAACATGAAGAACAAATAAGAAAACTGGAAAATGATGAACAAACCATATTCCAAACTCTTCATATCATCATCATCCTTACATGTTTCTTCTTAAATCTAAATATTGTCTTATGCTGATTTATTAATCATGTCACATCTAAATCTCCACGAAGCTGCTCTAAAGCTCCTATAAACAGCAGAACATGTAATTAGCTAAAGGGTGGCAGAAGGACATGTGACTATTTAAGGGCTACAGCTTAGACAGGAGTGAGATAACATCTAGACACACGTCAGGATCTGCTCCAGCTTTGAAAAGGACACATGAACCGTTCATCTACAATGGTCCTGCAACGCTTTTTCACCCAAACTGCTTCTCATGATGCTTCTTGTTTTTTCCTTGTTCGCTCACATTAAGTCCACTGTCCAGAAAAACAAGAGTGTGGTAAAGAGGAGAAGAAGAGAGTCCAGGCAGACTGTAATGGTTTGGACATGTCCAGAGGAGGGACAGTGTGTATATTGGTAGAAGGATGTTAGAACTGCAGCTGCCAGGATAAAGACAAAGTGGAGGACATGGAGGTAGTTGGAGTGAAGACAGAGTGAGATGAAGGAGGATGACTCACTGTGGAGGCCTTTGAAGAGGGAACGGCTGAAAGATGAAGAAGAAGTTCGCTCATATTAATAAAGGGAGCTCAAGGGCATCAATGATAGATCCTCACTCAAACAAAATCTTTAAAAAGACGTCGTGCTACGGTTTGGTGTGGTTTAGCTAAGAGTAATTCACAACACACACTTCAGCTGACGTGTGAGATCTGTGCTTAAAACTTCAGCATTACTCGTTGGAGTCGTCTGTAAGAAAAACATCTCAGCGTCTCACTGACCAGATTTTATTGAAACTGTAATCATTGAGTGCGCATCCACAACTGATTAAGTGTTGGCGTCAACCTGAGTCAAGATGTCTCAGAGATCACTCAGAGCCTCTCGAGTCAGGCAGTCTCCAGAAACTGTGATCACCTGGACCTTGGCCATTTCCACGTAGACACCGCAGACGTCATTATGATTCCACTCGTCGCACCCGGACCTGTTGGAAACTCTCACTTTCCTGCCTCGCGGCGTCATCACTGGAGGCAGGAGTAGGCACGTGTGAATCACCACGGCAACGAGGATGCGCGCTTGAATCACTACGGCAACGTGAAGCATCTCCCTCTTGGTTACAGGCAGCTCTGTTCTCCCACACACTTCCTGTTTTCTCTCCTCCTCCTCCTCCTCCCCCTTCTCTCTCCTGTGCTACAGTGTAGCTGATTCAGTTCATTGATGGACAGAAATTAAAATTCTCTTTATCCTGCTTTTAACTGTCACGTATCATTGTAAACCTGAAGAAATTGAGGTTTTGTAAATTATAAAACATACTAAGTCTATCTAATAATTTATTTTAGACGTGGATAATAAATCATGTTATCACCGAGCTTCAGAACGCACACTGTTTATACTTCGTCTTATTTATTTCTTATTTTTGTGGAAAATACCAAACCTAAAATCGCATTTTATTGTATTTTAGAGGGTAAAATTATATTTTAGATTAAAAATTTATAAACAATAAACAACCTAAAGAAACAAAACTCAAACTTTACCACAACGTGAGGTCAAATAGAAATTAGAATTAGAAAAATTAAAAAGAGTTATTCATTTTGTTCTGCTACTTGAAAATTATTATGATTGAACTAATTGTTTGAAAAAAGGGGAAGATATAATAAGATTTTTTGTTCTTTCTGCTGCCTTTCATTTTAAATCTCTTGTATTTTTTTTATATTGTTATGGAATTGTTTTGTATTTTTTTAAATGAATAAACTTTATACCATACCAAATATGGCGGCTGAATATTTTAAGCATCTGATTAAAATTATATGTGAAGTATCCTGTTTCAAAACTACAATATGTAAAACATACAGTATTACCTAATAATAATTATCAAAATGTGTCGTGGAAAATAACTGATTCCCAAACGATCAGGTGTAGATCTCATCACATTTAAATCAAAATCAAATATTTCATGTATTTGCAAGCAGCCAAAACTGAACCTTTTA